CAAGATTTCATAGGATAGGAGAGAAGGGGGAGGGGGTGATTACGGCCAGGTTGAAGTTTTGGGCAGGTAGCACTCCGGTCAGACTAGATAGATAGATAGATAGATAGATAGATAGATAGATAGCAAATACCCTCTCTCACGTTCCTAGATTTATTTGGCCAGTCAGATTTTAGCCTTAACTGCATATGTTAGTTTATTTGTACTTTGATACTGAACTTAGATACAAATTCTTACATGGATACTTAGATACTAAACTTGGATACAAATTCTTACATGAATACTTAGATACTAAACTTGGGTACATACTATTATATATATACTTTGATATTAAAATTGGATACATACTGTTACATGTATGCTTGGAAACGTACTCTTGCTTGGATACAATAATACTAAACATGGCTTCTTGGATACTTACTTTTACATGGATAATTAGATACCGAACTCGGATGCTTATACTTATATGTATACTTGAATACTAAGCATGGATGAATACTTTTATATATTGCTTCTTGGGTTCATAATTTTAGTTGGATACTTAGATAACAAACTCGGATACATATACTTACATGGATACTTGGATACTAAACTTGGATACATATACTTACATGGATACTTGGATACTAAACTTGGATACATACTGTTACATGGATACTTGGATACCAAACTGTGATACATGCTGCTACATGGATACTTGGATGCTAGACTTTACATACAGATATAGAATTTTTATTTGATTCTTGGATACATAAACTTTGATACACACTTTTACATGGACAGTGGATACTTACTTTTAAATGGATAATTTGGTACTGAACATGGATACAAATTTGTACACGGATACTTGGATACTAAACTTTAATTTATACCTTTACATGGATACTAAACTTTAATACAGATTCTTTAATTTATACTTGGATACTAAACTTGAATTCATACTTTTACATGTATACTTGGTTAGTGGATACATACTCTTATATGGATATAATGATACTAAACATGGATGCATACTCTTTTATGGCTTCTTTGATACATACTTTTAAATTGATACTTTCTACTTAGATATCAAACTTGGATACATAAACTTACATGGATACTTTGATACTAAACTTGGAAACATATTCTTACGTAAATTTTAGGGTACTAAACTAGGATACATAAATTACATGGATGCTTGGATACTTTACTTGGATACATAAATTACATGAATGCTTGGATACTTTACTTGGATCAATATTCTTATATGGATACTTGGATACTTTACTTGGATCAATATTCTTACATGGATACTTGGATACTTTACTTGGATTAATATTCTTACATGGATACTTGGATACTAAGCTCTTATGCACATTCGTTTATGGATAATTGGATACATAGACTTGAAAATAATTTATTCATGGATACATAGATCAGTATAGTTTAATTGTATAAAACTAGGAAAAATACTTCACTGAGCTAAATTACAATGTTTTGCTCATTATAGAAAAGAATGGAGAGAATCAGCAAGGATGAGTTCGTGATCAATTTCAATTCTTTTTGCTTTTTGTTTTATTACTATTCTAAAATGTGTAAGCCAAATATTTGACTGATATTTTGAATTTGAAAGAAACAAAAGAGACATGCAACAATCTTATTCGTATTTTATTGTTTAAATCTTGGATCTTGACAAACCTGGCCTAAATAGCCATGCTGGTCAGTTTCTTGTTTTGCAAATTTGAAATATGACGGGTCAACCTTTGTTTTGACGTGAACAAACCCTGACATTTTTTATGCAATATCGAACTTAAAAAAACTAATTCGAAATTATTTATTACTAATATTAGTAAGTTGTGGATGTAAAAATTTGTGAAATATCCCTGCCATTGTTCTAATAATATCGAGCAAAATATCGTTTTTTTTTAATCTTTCGTTCGTTCGTCAAAAAAAAATGTTAGGGTTTTTTTCAGTAGTGCACACAAAGTTAACCCTACACGAAATTCTGATGCTTAAAAAGAATGCTGTTTCTAATTTTTAAATTCAAGCATCCGTTTCACGGAACAGTTTTTCTACAATCTTTAAATATTTTTCTCAGTTTTTCTGGATCTATTGAATTCCGAAAGCATTCCGTTTCTTGTGAAGAATTCTAAACATAATTTGAGAAACATCTCATCCGTTTCTTGAACCTGGGATAGTGATGAAAACTAAATATTTCTCCGGGTATCACATTAAGTGCAGAGAATTCAACCCTCTTCTCTCCGGGTATATAATTGCGGAGAACCCATCCTTGCTTCTCCGGGTATAGATCAACTACAAAGAACCCATCCTTACTTCTCCGAGTATATATCAACTACAGAGTACCCATCCTTACTTCGCCGGGTATAGATCAACTACCTCTGGGTATACATCAACTACAGAGAACCCATCTTTGCTTCTCCTGGTATACATGAACTATAGAAAAGAAAACCCATTCTTTCTTCTCCGGGTATGCATAAACAACCGAGAACCCATCATTGCTTCTCCGGGTAAATATATTAACTTCAGAGAACCCATCCTTACTTCTCCGGGCAAAGATTAACTACCTCTGGGTATATATCAACTACAGGGCACCCATCTTTACTTCTCCGGGTATACATCAACTTCAGAAAAGAAAAACCCATCCTTTCTTCTCCGGGTATGCATCAACAACAGAGAACACATCCTTGTTTGTCCGGGTATACATCAACAACGGAGAGCCCATCCTTGCTTCTCCGGCTACAGATTAACAACAGAGAACTTAACCTTGCTTCTCCGGGTATACATCAATTATACAGGAAACCGAAATCTGCTTCTCCGAATATACATCAACAACCAAGAACCCATCCTTGCTTCTCCGGTCATAGAGCAACAACAGAAAACTCAACCTTGCTTCTCCGGGTACAGGGAACCCAAACTTGCTTCTCCGAGTATTCATCAACAACAGATAACCCAGCCTTGCCTCTCCAGAAAATCCAATCGTGATTCTCCAGGTGCCTTCAACTACTGAGAAGAAATATTTTTTTTCTCTGGGATCCTTTACTATTATGATTCAGGCGATTTCATATGCAGAGATCATTTTAGGAAAGGTTCCTTGGGATTATCAGCATCTTTACCATCGTCTCTTTGATTTAAAAGCATCAAAAAATACAGGGTGTCCCATAAATAATGGGGGATACGTGTTTTTGAAGCTTTTTAAGGAAAAGAAGTCAGCCCCATAATTTTATTTTTAAGGCATAAATCGGGGGCATTTGAATGCTTTAAAAGGCTTCTATAACACGGATTGCTGGAGCACCGTGTACAATATTGCGTTATTTTAGTTTACCATTCTTATCTTTTTCTAGCGTACAACTACAATATTTGGTATTTGTTTAGTCGTGTATGTTTGACAAGTCTCATTATTTTTACTTTTATTCTCTAATTTTAGCATAATTCTATTTTTAAAATCTCATTGTATTGTATACATGGAAATGTGATGCACTTTAATTTGTTTTTATCTATGTAAAATAAGTTTTGATAAACCTGAGATTAAAATATAAATTATGAAAATGATCTTTAGAAAGTGAGTTTTTATGTGGTAGATACAATTTTGTGATATATGAATTGATATTTGAATAAATTGAAATACATTTAGATTAAAATACGGTCATATTGGTAAATATAGATCCATGTGTAAGTTTTAAAGGTTAAATATCTTTAAACAGAAATTTTGCTTTCTAACCTTCAGACTTTTCCCCTTTTACTAACAGCTCAGTTTGATTTTCAAAATAAATGGGGGGGGGGGGGGAGAACATTTTTAGAAATAGCTGAATTAAATTATAAGAAACATGCAATATGTAGTTAAAATTTGTAATAAATTATGGATTAGAAATTAAAACTAGAAAGATAAATTCATTTTTAATTTTGCTAAAAATAATAAAAAGATAGTTTTATTTTTTATTCACTTCTTAAAATTTGTTACGAGTCTCGTAAATCCTAACCTTGATTTAATATAAAGATATGGTGTGAAAACTTTTGAATTTATAAAGCAAGTTATATTCATTTGTTTGTTCAAAAGTCTCCAGTTGATCATGTCCTGTTGTTCTAGCTTTTACCTTTTTTGTAGAATTAATGATGACGAGTATCTCATTGTTATAAAGAGCTGTAATTAACACATTTTTTCTACAACAAATACAACTGTGCTCATTGATACATCCGAGCTAATCAATCCACCTGACAACTAAAAATGTTGATTAGAAGAATTAGAATCCTATCAATGGGAGAAATGGATACACGCAATTGGTGTAGTCGATGTAAGGTGGGGGGGGGGATGGGGTTTGTGTACACATTTGACTTTCACGTATTATCACTGTTTTAACTAGTTTAACAAAATAAAAACGATTGTAAGCAAAAGTTGGAAATTTTCTGGGTAGGGCTTGTTTATCATAAACCAGTTTCTTTATATCAACACAATGAAGACGACATTTCTATTTATGTTTGGTTTTCTAACAACCTTTTTTCAAATTACAAAGAGAATCGCATATTCGACAGCTTCTCTTTGTTTTGATGTTTATTTGTTTTCATTCTTTTCTTTTTGGTTGGTAGAAATAAAAAATTGAAATGAAAAGTCATCTGAACTGTATTGATATAAACGACGACGACTTAACGACGCATTTAAATTTACGGAAATCCTATCTATCACCCCACACCTTACATCTATTATACCTTGGATATATGGAGGTGGACAGGGTGGGAAGGCAGGAAGAAGGGGATGTTACCAGTTTTAGAAATTGGTTTAATTGTCCCGGTTGGTATTTTTATTGCTCTGTGAGCAGGTTAAGAGAGGATACACGGATACAGGGGGACACAGGATACATATGGCGGAGGATACATGTGGGGGGGGGGTACCATATTGGGGAGGATACATATGAAGGGGTAGGGTTACCATATTTGGGTGGATAATTATGATGGGGGGGTACCATATTCAGGAGAATGCATATGGGGAAGGGTAGGTTGATGAATAATGAATGACAGGTAAAAATCGATTGAGATATCATTTGATTTTTCTAAAAAATCTCAGATCTTATCCTTTCTCATAAAATTTAAAATTAATTAAATTTTTTTAATATTCTCACAAAATCTTCAAATTTTTATGAACACTAATGTTCGTGATTGTATCAGTGCAAAATATCAACCGAAAACTGTTAAAAAAGACTTTCCGCTCTAAAAACCAAATCTGAACTGAACATTAAGAAAGATATTTAAAAATGTTCTTCTCTCTGAATGGATCATCAAGTTTTAGCTTAAAAATAAGAAACAAAAAAAGATAAATAATTTGAAGTCTTCTTTTGTTTAAAAAGATCTGTAAATCTTGAAAAAATGTTAATTGATCCATTTTTTCCAAGGCGGATAGAGGGATGAAAAATAAATGAATCTTAATGGAATCTAGTGTGTATTGTGAACATTGCATAGCCTTTAGCATATGTAGCTTTGTAAACTTTGATTTGAAGTTGAAGCAAATATTTGATAAGATAAAATAAAACAATTGTATTTTTTAACATACTAGTATACTATGAACGAAATTGGATATTTTTAATTAAAAACATATCCTTGTGATAAATAGAATTTAAAGGAAGAATAATTTTTCATTTTGCTTCTTTTGCTCCTCCCATTTCTACCATCATCTTCCCTCTACCCATCTACCACCACCTTCCCTCTACCCATCTACCATCACCTTCCCTCTACCCATCTACCATCACCTTCCCTCTCCCCATCTACCACCACCTTCCCTCTCCCCATCTACCATCACCTTCCCTCTACCCATCTACCATCACCTAATCTACCACCACCTTCCCTCTACCCATCTACCACCACCTTCCCTCTAACCATCTACCACCACCTTCCATCTACCCATCTACCACCACCTTCCATCTACCCAACTACCACCACCTTCCCTCTTCCCAACTACCACCACCTTCCCTTCTCCCAATCTACCTCCACCTTCATTCTCCCCAATTACCACCACCTTCCATCTCCCCATCTACCACCACCTTCCCTCTCCCCATCTACCACCACCTTCCCTCTCCCCATCTACCACCACCTTCCCTTCTCCCAATTTACCTCCACCTTCAATCTCCCCAACTACCACCACCTTCCTTCTCCTTATCTACCTCCACCTTCCCTCTCCTTATCTACCTCCACCTTCCCTCTCCGCATCTACCACCACCTTTCCTCTACCCATCTACCATCACCTTCCTTCTCCCTATCTACCTTCACCTTCCCTCTCCCCATCTACCATCACCTTCCCTCTACCCATCTACCACCACCTTCCCTCTCCCCATCTACCACCACCATCCATTATTCAACGGATGTTATGTTTCTTGGGTCTGCTACTTCTTCAAGATATGAATCAAGGGACAAATATTTTTCCCCTTTTTAATTCTTTAAAATATTTTTGTTATTTTTAATGACACTTTTTATGAAAAAATAGTATTTTTTTTAAATATTGTTAGGCCCAGTTTCAATTCTTGGCTACACCCCCCCCCCCCTCTTCCCACTACAATGTCAAGCCCAAGGTCAATTAACAGACAATAGAGCAGATCATTATATAATTGCCTCGCCTTAACCCCCCGCCCCCCCCCTCAATAATTCACCTTGGCTCTGTTAACTAGCTTTTATCCCCTTATCCCTCTTTTCTCTTAGCTCATGAATCTCTTCTGTATTGATCCCTCCCTACTTAAAAAAAATTTATTTATTATATATTCTTTTTAAGGTATGTTGCAATAGTCGCAAAGGACCCAGCCCGGCCTGCCCCCTTTGTGAGATTTTTTCTAAATAAAACTTATTCTGTTTACCTATCTAAAAAGCACATTATTAAACATTGGTGGTACGACTTTGCTATTACACCTTTGCATCTATGAAGTGCGTTTAAGTTTAAATCATTTGAGTAAATTAGTAAAAATAAATCAGTATATATCAGTAACCGGTCGGTGGCGTTGCCCTTGTTATTTTTATATCGTCCCAGGCTGTATATTTTCTTGAAACAGCACCCCCCCCCTTTGAAAACTATTTCTTAACTATTTTCAAAATCGTGGAAAATATATGATTATTAGGGGAAAACATGACTTCTGGGTTAGAAAGTATAAAAAAGGATGCCTTTTATGTCCAATTTCTAGTTTTTTCCGCAGACCATCGGGGGTAAAAATTTAATGATTAATGAATCTATTAGATTTCAATAAACTCCAAATTAATTAATTATTAAGAAAACAAATGAGCGAAATCTTTTGAAAAAGAGTTGTCATCGAACAACAAAAGATAAAGAAGAGATTAAATGAAATATCATGTTCTCTGTCGAGTATAATTAATGTCGTCGTGATTTGCACTCATCTTGTTTTACATTTTAAGAGAGAGGGATAGCTTATTTCTACTGTGGATAATCTTTTTTTTTTTTAAACTTTTACCCCCTCCCCATGATGATGGTAGTACTTCCTTCGGTGTGTAGCATAAATAAAAAGATTATCTCTGAATTGGTCTCTTATCCCTAACATGGCCTCAGGGTCACCCATCTTTTTTTTAATTTTCCATTTTGATTTCAAATCTCGTTTTTCTTTCTTAAAAACGTTCCAACAATCGGATAACAATTCACATGCTTATTTGAATCTCCCATGATCCTCCCCCTGGGGTAGACCCGCCCCTTCTCAGACTTGCCACGCCCCCTGTATTTATAATATTGTTCCGGGTACGCCCCCCCTTTCAACAAGTTGACAACATGAATACATCTAAACCATGTACACATGTAAACTAACCCTGTCAAATAATTTGAATACAAAGATGTGTTATTATAGACCTGTTCCTAACATTGGTTTATTTTGTTGACTGCAAAAAAAATCTTTCCCCCATAATAAATAATTTCGTTATTTCCTTAAACTAAAATTAGTTGAATCCTATCTTATACTTTGTATGAAAACTACTTTGGAGTTATATGAGTTTTACAATTATTTGCTTTGCTGTATTAACTATATACAAACTTGTTCAATGTTCAATATGAACACAATCACTTCTGAATGTGTTAAAACCCCCAATTTTGTTGTTAAGACACTTCTTCAAGTTTTCAAATACTCAGGTCATCGGATAAACTACGTTTCTTGCGTTAAATATTCAGCAATTTGTGTTAAACTTAAATAGTTTGTATTGGAGGCATGTCAAACAATTTTAAGAGGCCAGAGCTGAAAACTTTAGAATGGTGGATATCGAGTCTAATGCTTGATCCTCTCTTTTTCTTAATATCGAGATTAACCTAATCTTGTATTTGTATCCTGAAAAGTGTATCAAATTCAACCAATCAGAGTCGAGTATATGAAGCCGATAAATTTGAAATTTTGCGCGCCATTTAAGATTATACAAGAAACGGGAAGGACTCTCTAAATTAAAAAAAAACCGGTTTTTATTTTTCTCTACTATATCCAAGAAAGAATGGTTTAAGAAGAAAATCAAAAGTGTGTCCATTGGATACTCAGATTAAGTAATCGGGATTAAGGATATCTCATTCTAAAGTTTTCAGCTATGGTCCCTTTTTAATGAATGACAAAAAAAAGATTTTGACCTTTACACTAAGACCTCGTTGGATTGAAGTCTAAATTATGTACAGTTTACAATTTATGATAGTACTGCTGTCAACCCTCCTGTTCATGATAGTACTGCTGTAAACCCTCCTGTTTATGATGATAGTACTTCTGTCAACCCTCCTGTTTATGATAGTACTGCTGTCAACCTCCTGTTTATAAAGGTACTGCTGTCAACCTCCTGTTTATGATAGTGCTGCTATCAACCCTCCTGTTCATGATAGTACTGCTGTCAACCTCCTATTTATAAAGGTACTGATGTTAACTCTCCTGTTTATGATAGTACTGCTGTCAACCCTCCTGTTCATGATAGTACTGCTGCCAATCCTCCTGTTTATGATGATAGTACTTCTGTCAACCCTCCTGTTTATGATAGTACTGCGGTCAACTCTCCTGTTTATGAGAGTACTGCTGTCAACCCTCCTGTTTATGATGATAGTACTTCTGTCAACCCTCCTGTTTATGATAGTTTTGCTGTCAACTCTCCTGTTTATGATAGTACTGCTGTCAACCCTCCTGTTCATGATAGTACTGCTGTCAACCCTCCTGTTTATGATGATAGTACTTCTGTCAACCCTCCTGTTTATGATAGTACTGCTGTCAACTCTCCTGTTCATGAGAGTACTGCTGTCAACCCTCCTGTTCATGATAGTACTGCTGTCAACTCTAGTACTGCTGTCAACCCTCCTGCTTATGATAGTACTGCTGTCAACCGTCCTGTTTATGATAGTACTGCTGTCAACCTCCTGTTTATGATAGTGCTGCTGTCAACACTCCTGTTCATGATAGTACTGCTGTCAACTCTAGTACTGCTGTCAACCCTCCTGCTTATGATAGTACTGCTGTCAACCGTCATGTTTATGATAGTACTGCTGTCAACCTACTGTTTATGATAGTACTGCTGTCAACCCTCCTGTTCATGATAGTACTGCTGTCAACTCTCTTGTTTATGATAGTACTGCTGTCAACCCTCCTGTTTATAAAGGTACTGCTGTCAACTCTCCTATTTATGATAGTGCTGCTATCAACTCTCCTATTTATGATAGTGCTGCTATCAACCCTCCTGTTTATGATTGTACTTATGTCAACCCTCCTGTTTATGATAGTACTGCTGTAAACCTCCTGTTTATAATAGTATTGTTGTCAACCCTCCTGTTAATGATAAAACTGCTGATAACACTTCTATTTATGATAGTACTGCTGTCAATCTTGTCAATTCTCCTGTTTTCTTCTTGTTCATTTTATGTTTGTCGGTCTGTCATTCTGACTGTCAGTTGTTTAGTCTGTCAAATTGGTTAAACATGTCCTTGTTAGTGATTGGCATCTTCTGTTCTTGTTTGTGTGGGGTAATTATCGGTTAAACATTCCTATTATAATTTCATAATCTGTTGTACTTAAGCCATAAAAAACATTTCGTTTTATTTTTGTTTATTCATGTAAAAATCTGTATTCTTTTTTTTCTTTTCATTACTTTTTGTATTTTTTAAAGGGACTAAAAGCGCAATTTCTAAGATGGCAATGCCCGATTTACAATGTTACCCTTGAAACCTTAATCGAATTAGAAATGTGGAAAATGTCGTCGTTTTCTGACTCGGAAAAGTGTTCATTTCTGTGAGTTTTTCCATTTCTTCTTTTTAACAAGAAATACTCAAGTCACTTTCGCAGAGAACCCGCAAATGAACAGTTTAAAGAAACAAAAACATATCTAATAAACACTTGATGAGACAAAGCTTTCAAGGGTATCTTATAAATCGGTATGTTACTATCTTGTATGGAGGGTCACTTAACATTATGCGTACAGTCTCTTTAATTCTGCATACTACGTTCATATTTTTTGTCAGTTTAATTCTGTATTTTATCGTCAAATCATCTGTATCTTAAATTATAGAATGTAGCTCTTAATGTATCTGTAATGACAAACTTATCTTGTCAGTAAAAAAAACTTGTTATTTTTAAATATCAAATCTGGGATTTTAACAACATGGACAATTTGTATCTACATTCAAACACCCTGTAAAGTGTATGGCCGCTAAAATAACAAATTTTCTCGGACAGGACCGTGCGCACTTATTTTGGGCGTTGCCTAGATTTGAAACCTAAACGTATTGGAGTAAGGCAGTTGCCTGAATTCCCTGAGGCAACTGCCTTACCTAGGCCCCAGGCATTTTCAGGCCACTGCCTGAGAATCCAGGCCTGTGATTGGATGGGTTTAGGCGGGACACTGCCTGGTTTGACGACAAAAAGGGTCATCCACCTTAATCCAAGCAGAACCAAAAGTGTAAATGTACCCCAGCCTGTTCCTTATATCCCCCCTTTCTTATTTATTCATAACTAAATATCAACGATAATATTTATTCTTGGCACTGCACAGAAAAAAAGGGATACAAAAACCAAAATTTGAGGTAACGGGGAACGATAAGGGAGAGGGTTAAGTTTTCCTAAGTCTACTTGAAATAATATGTAATAGGCAAGATTTGGAAAGCGAAATGAAAAGCTTAGAATGGGATTTTTAAACATTGTGAAGGGTATTGAAATTTGAAAGTGGCAAGGAAATTGAAAAATGTTGGCAAAGTTGGAATAGCTTTGGAGTAGGTAAGGGTTTGGGAACTTGAATGAATTTGGAACATTAAAAAAGGTTGTGAACCAGAAAGAGGTTGGGAACTGGAAATAAGTTGGGAAAAACATAAGCCCCAAACCCTCCAGAACCTCTAAGGGGGTTCAATCCATTACAATGCTCATTTTTTCAATGAAGTTGGCATGAATCTCGCAATACAGATATGTATGTATCCTCATAGTCAATCCATAACCCTACGATCTATCTATTCAACCCTCCTACCTACCTATCTATCTTCTCAGAGGTAATCTGTCTAGAATCTATCTTGATATATTGTAACCATGTGATTACAGGTTGACATATGTGCTGCTAATATCCGTAATTTAATCTTGATAAACTTCTCCACCCTCCACATTAACTCAACCTTCTCCATACAACCTTCTCTACACATCCTTACTCGACCTTCTCTACTCAACCTTCTTTACTCAACCTTCTCTACTTAACCTTCTCTATTCAACCTTATCTACACAACCTTTATCATCCTTCTCTACACTACCTTCATCTACCTTCTCAACACAACCTTACTCAACCTTCTCTACACAACCTTACTCAACCTTCTCTACACAACCTTACTCAACCTTCTCTACACAATTTTACTCAACCTTCTCTACACAATCTTCTTTAAAAGAACAATACCCTTTTCAACCTTCTCCAACCTTCCACCTTAATCAACCTTAACCACACAACCTGACTCAACCTTCTCTACGCATTCTTACTTAACCTTCTCTACACAACCCTACTCAACCTTATCTACAAAACCTTACTCAACCTTCTCCACATAAGCCTACTCAACCTTAGCTGCACAACCCTACTCAACTTTCTCCACATAACCTTACTCAACCTTCTCTACACAATCTTACTCAACCATCTCTGCATGTAATAAAATCATGGAATTGTGTATAGTTCAACTATCTGTATATCTATGTTTTGATTTGACCCTGACCGGCCATTCCGGTCAATCTATATTTACCTGTATCAATAAATTAGTATAGGATCAATTGTTGTTTTAGACGGACGTATAGAGCCAGGGTTGGCTAAATATAGAGTCTGGATAGACTTGTTATTAGAGTTAGAGTCAAGTATTGAGAGATTATTCGGGACCTAGATCGTTACATGCACAACCTTACTCAACCATCTCAATACAACCTACTCTACTAAACCTTATCACAACCATACTCAACCTTACTCTTATATACCCTTCGTAATTATATCATTCTTTCTCAATCCTACAACCCCCCCCTCCCTCGCTTCCATCCAGTTTTATGTAAATACAGGTAAAGTAGAATAAATGGTTTAGTTATAACAGATGGACTTTAAACAATGTTTTACAATGTGGCCAAAATCAAGGTTTCCAGTCGTATTTCTTCTCTCCTTTTTTAAATTACTCTAACAGTCGACATAAAACTGAACTTGAATTTTGTTAGGTTTTAAGTTTTTAAATATTCAAAGAAAATACAAGTCCCTGTTTTGTGGTTTTTTCACATTGAATTCCAGATTCTAAGTTCATATTCTTGTCTCTCGTCAGCGTAAGAGCAACTTAAATTTAAATTAAATATTTGTTTAATTTTCATTAATGTCTCTTGTGCTTCTCTGGGATTTTTGGTTCAATGTAAATTTACCCTTGATTTTTAAAGCACCTGTAACCATTTCCCCCCATACACCCCCCCCCTTTCTTCTTCAGCTGATTTCTGCTCCCAGAACCTTACCCTTAAGAAGTTCCCACACTGTAACTTCCTGTCATGTATCTATCTATCCATGTACCTCTTCTAACTGCCTCAGGCAACATCTAGACCTGCTACTGGAGTTATTAAACATTTGGTATACTGTCATGCACAGGATTAGATCTAGCATGCACAGGCTTAGATCTAGCATGCACAGGATTAGATCTAGCATGCATAGGCTTAGATCTAGCATGCATAGGCTTAGATCAAGCATACATTGGTTTAGATCTAGCATGCACAGGCTTAGATCTAGCATTCATAGGCTTAGATCTAGCATGCATAGGCTTAGATCTAGCATGCATAGGCTTAGATCTAGCATTCATAGGCTTAGATCTAGCATGCATAGGCTTATATCTAGCATGCACAAGCTTAGATCTAGGCTTAGATTATATTGAGGCTTACATTTCTTCCCATTTCTTCTCTTTTCCTGCTTCTTAATTCTTTACTTTCCTTCGTCCCATTAATTCTCTTCCCTTCTTCCATTAATTCTCTTTCCTTCTTCCCATTAATTATCTTTCCTTCTTCCCATTAATTCCCTTTCCTTCTTTCCATTAATTCCCTTTCCTTCTTCCCATTAATTCTCTTCCTTTCTTCCAATTAATTCTCTTTCCTTCTTCCCATTAATTCTCTTCCCTTCTTCTCATTAATTCTCTTTCCTTCTTCCCATTAATTTTCTTCCCTTCTTCCCATTAATTCTCTTTCCTTCTTCCCATTAGTTCTCTTTTCTTCTTCCCTTTAGTTCTCTTTCCTTCTTCCCATTAATTCTCTTTTCTTCTTCCCTTTAATTCTCTTTCCTTCTTCCCATTAATTCCCTTTCCTTCTTCCCATTAATTCTCTTTCCTTCTTCCCATTAATTCTCTTTCCTTCTTCCCATTAATTCTCTCCCATATCTTTCACTGACATAAAACCATATATTAGAAACCGAATACCTGCCCTGGGCAAAATATTCTCTGAATCGGAAATGGGAAATTTAACAGATTTTATTTCTACGTCTATATTATGCAGTATGCAACCAAACTATGCATGCATGAATCATCTCAAATAATAAAAATCATAAGTATTATGTGTACACCTGTACACTGTACATTAAACTATCGACACTGTACACTGTACACTGTACACTTTACACTGTACTGTCTGAACGTGAACGACTTTACTAGTCAAAAGTAAATTAACACAAAAAACTACGATTATGATGCATCATCAAGGGGAGGAGGGGGGCATTTGCGTGGTTTAAAAAATTAAAACTTATTTTGCCCGTAATGACGCGAAAACACTGTTATCTATGGAGCAGGATTGGGGAGGAAAGGCTGTGAAATAATCCAAGTTTTATCACATGCAGTTTGTTAAAGATTTTCTCAGCCAAACCATCCTAAGAACCTAATAATCCTTAGTCATTCAGGATATGGGACAGACCCCCCGTCATTTAATTAATTTGCCCATCTTTAAATTACTCCCCCCCCCATACCTCCCACACTTATCTTAAGCCTACATCCGGCCAGAGTAGAACCCGTGCCTCCCAAGTTTGACCACATCAAATAAAACTCTTCTAACCTAA